ATCATGAAGGTTGGGAAGCATTACTTTGTGTTTTGTTTGGTTGCACTAATATATTCATATGACTACTACTGTATTGGTGTAAGTTGTCAGTAAGTTTATCCTAATTCATGGTGACTCCATGGATCAGAGGAGTTCTGTTCCATAGGGTTGTCAGACTGTGCCTTTTACAAGCAGACTGTTAGACTTGTCTTTTGAGGCAACTCTGGATGAGATTAAACTGCCAAACTTTTGGCTAGTTAGTTGAATGTTTAGCTGTTTGTGCTTCCCAGGAACTTTTTACTGCTGGGTATTTCAATAAAAAATAATGGTCTTTATGAAATTGACTGGTTACTTATATTCCTTTCCTCATTAAGGGTCTCTAAAAATTAATCTGACCTTGACTTTGGCCATTTTACCAACTTATTGAGGAAGAAAAATCAAATATGTAAGAGAAAGCTACTACATTTTATTCCAAACTTTACGTGTGTGTTTCATAAATATACTATTGATGGCTTTACATAAATGATGGTGGTGGTGTGCCATGGAGTCAGTTCTGACTCATAGCAACCCTGCATAAAATTTCTGAGACTATCAATCTTTACAGGAGCACAAAGTCTCATCTTTCTCCTGTGGAACAAACTGCTAGTAGTTTTGAACTGCTGATCTTGAAGTTACAAGCCCAACTCATAACCACTACACTACCAGAGCTCCTTTACATAAATGATAGCAATGACTTATATTAAGAAAAAAGTGGGGGATGGATCAAAACAGCCATGAATGCCTGACAGAACCATGGAGATACAGTTGTGGACATTCTTTTTATGGTTTCTGTTCATTGGTCTCTCGCTGTCTGCATACCTCCATTCTGGTGAATATAGGGGATGTCTGAATGAATGGACACCCCATCCACACCCACAGAGGGTTCTACTACGCATGCGCACAGATATCCTCGAAATTCAAAATGACAGCTTCCACTTAAAACCAAACAGCCACTACTCGTCTGTCAGTTTGTCTTACTGTGGTGGCATGTTAGTTGCTGTGATACTGAAAGCTATGCCACAGATATTTTAAATACAAGCTGGGTCACCCATGGTGGACAGGTTTCAGAGGAGCTTCCAGACAAACACAGACTAGGAAGAAAGAGTGACGAACTACTTCCAAATATTTAGTCACTGAAAACCTTATGAATAGCAGAGAAATACTAGATATAGAAATAGCAGAGAAATCCAGATATAGTGCAGGAAAACAAGTCCCTCAAGTTGGAAGTTACTCAAAATGCGACTAGGGAAGAACTGCCTCCTCAAAGTAGAGTTGACTGTGATAATGTGAATGGAGTAAAGCTCATGGGAGAAAAGCCCATGGGACCTTCATTTGCTCTTGGGGCACAACTCAAAATGAAGAGAAACAGCTGTAAACATCCATTGAAAATTGAACATGGAATGTACAGAGCATGAATCTGGGAAAATTGGAAGTTGTCAAAAATGAAATGGAACGCATAAACATCGATATCTTAGGCATTAGTGAGCTGAAATGGACAGGTATTGGCCATTTTGAATCTGACAATCACATGGTTTACTATGCCAGGAATGATAAATTGAAGAGCAATGGTGTTGCATTCATAGTCAAAAAGAACATATCAAAACAAGCAAGAAGGACAATGCTGTCTGTGATAGCATAATATCCATGCACCTACAGGGAAGACCTGTAGTTAATAGAACTATTATTCAAATTTACACACCAAACACTAAAGCCAGTGAGGATGAATTAGAATTCTACCAAATTCTTCAATCTGAAATCTATCAAACCTGCAGTTGAGATGTATTGATCATTACTGGTGATTGGAATGCAAAGGCTGGGAGCAAAGAGGAAGGACCAGTATTTGGAAAACATGGCCATGGTGATAGAAATGATGCTGGAGAACACATGATAGAATTCTGCAAAAACAAATGATTTGTTTATTTCAAATACCTTCTTTAGACTGAATAAGAGACGACTATACACATGGACCTAGCCAGATGGAATACATAGAAATCAAATTGACTATATTTGTGGAAAGAGACAATGGAAAAGCTCCATATCATAAGTGAAAAACAAGGCCAGGGGCAGATTGTGGAACAGGGCATCAATTACTCATATGCAAATTCAAACTGAAGCTGAAGAAAATGAAAACAAGTCCACAAGAATCAAAATATGATCTTGAATATATCCCACCTGAATTTACAGTTCATCTGTGAACAAATTTGATACATTAAACACTAAAGACTGAAGACCAGGAGAGTTGTGGGATGACATCAAGAATATCATACATGAAGAGAGCAAAAAGTCATTAAGAAGACAAGAAGGAAAAGATCAAGATGGATGTCAGAAGAGACACCAAAACTTGCTCTACAGTGAAGAAATGCTAAAGCAAATGGAAGAAATGAGAAGGTAAAAGAGTTGAACAAAAAATTTCAAAGATCAGCTCAAAAAGATAAAGACAAATATATCAAACAAATGTGCAAAGATCTGGAATCAGAAAACCAAAAAGGAAGAACATGGTCAGCATTTCTCAAGCTGGGGAACTAAAGAAAAAAATTCAAGCCTCGACTTTCATTATTGAAAGATTCTCTAGGCAAATTATTGAATGATGCAGAATGCATCAAGAGAAGATGGAAGGAATACACAGAGTCACTGTACCGAAAGGAAATGGTTAATGTTCAACCCTTTCAAGAGGTAGCATACGATCAAGAGCCAATAATACTTAGGGAGGAAGTCCAAGGTGCACTGAAGGAATTGGCAAATAACAAGGCACCAGGAATTGATGGAATAAAAATTGAAATCTTTCAAGAAAATGAGGTGGCATAGGAGGCACTCACTCATCTATGCCAAGAAATTTCAAAGACAAGTATCTGGCTGACTAATTAGAAGAGGTCCATATTTGTGCCCATTCCAAAGAAAGGTGACCCAATGGAATACGGAAATCATCAGACAATCTCTTTGATATCCCATGCGAGTAAAGTTTTGCTAAAGGTAATATAGAAATGGCTACAATCATACATTGACAGTGAATTTCCAGAGGTTCAAGCTGGATTCAAAAGAGGCTGTGGAATGAGGGATATCATTGCTGATGTCCGATGGATGTTGGCTGAACCAGAGAATATCAGAAAGATGTTTACCCATGCTTTATTGACTATTCAAAGGCTTTCGATTGTGTGGATCATGACAAGCTATGGACAACTTTGTAAAGTATGAGTATTCCAGAACATTTAATTGTGCTCATGAAGAATCTGTACCTGGACCAAGAGGCAGTTGTTTGAACAGAACATGGAAACACTGAATGTTTTAAAATAAAGAAAGGTGTACGAAAAGGTTGTATTCTTTCACCATACTTATTCAACCTGTATGCTGAGCAAATAATCTGAGAAGCTGGATTATATGAAGAAAAATGTGGCGTCAGGATTGGAGGAAGACTCATTAACAACCTGTGATATGCACATGATACAACCTTGCTTGCTGAAGGCCCAGAGGTCTTAAAATACATAGCCTTCAGTATGGGTTGCAGCTCAATGTAAAAAAAACAAAAATCCTCATCACTGGACAAATAAACAACATTCTTATCAACGGAGAAAAGATTGAAGTTGCCAAGGGCTTCATTCTTCTTGGATCGACTATCAACAATCATGGAAGCAGCAGTCAAGAAATCAAACGACATATTGCATTAGGCAAATTTGCTGCACAAGACCTTCTTAAAATGTTGAAGAACAAAGATGTCAGCTTGAGGACTAAGATGTGCCTGACCCAAGCCATGGTATTTTCAATAACCTCATATGCATGCGAAAGCTGGACAGTGAATAAGGAAGATCGTAGAAGAACTGATGCCTTTGAGTGATGGTGTTGAGAAGAATATTGAAAGTACCATGGCCTGTGAAAAGAACCAATAATCTGTTTTGGAAGAAGTGCAGCCAGAGTGCTCCTTAGAGGCCAAGATGGCCAAACTTCATCCTTATACTTTGGACATATTGTCAGTAGGGACCAGTTGTTGGAGAAGCATATCATGTTTGATAAGGTAGAGGGTCAGAGAAAAAGAGGAAGACACCCAACAAGATGGATTGGCCCAGTGGCAGCATCGATGGACTCAGCGTAGCAATAGTAGTGAGGTTGGCCAGGATCAGGCAGTGTTTCGTTTTACTGTGCATAAGGTCTCTATGGGTCGGTACTGACTCAATGGCATCTAACAACAACAACAACATTAAATACGGTAAAGAGATAAAAGATTTTAGAGTTACTTAATTAAAAGATTAAATGAATTATGTTTTTGAAACTGCCATTCAATGAATTCAAAGAGGATTTTTTGTTACAAATATTTAAATAAAGGCAAAGATTCCTAATCCTAAGAAAAAGAAAACAGTGACTAAAATTCTTATTTGTGTGTAAGAGTATTTATGTAAATAGCATATTCTACATTGTAATTTTATCTCAAACACATCTGGTAATATTAATTTAATCTTCCTAAATACACATATACCTATTACTTTAATAAAGAGTAGGTAACTAAAAATAAAAGTAAAAAAAGTATTATTTTGACTTCATTCTTATATATCTCCTCAATAAACCTAATCAGATAATTTTTGATCCATAATCCAATAAAGTCTTTCTCAAAACCTGTTACCTGAATAGAGACAAAATGCATGGCTGCTTTCTGAAGTACAAAACTTGCAATTCTAACCCTCTAAAGTGAGAATTTTTTTTTTGTCAACTTTTTAAAAAAGGAAACAAAATTATTCAATCATGTAATAAAGTTCTGGATAAGGTACACAGCAATTTTCACAATGATGAAAAAGAGCTTATATACACTTTCTCTTCTAGATATATGGAAACGAAACAGGATAACAGATAGAAACTTCAATATGACATATATATATATATATATATATATATATATAGAGAGAGAGAGAGAGAGAGAGAGAGAGAGAGAGAGGGAGAGTTAGTTCTGATATGTTAGAGAAACATCAAAACATTAGAAGGCAGTCTGTGGCTCAGAATTAATCTCCAGACGTATTCAACACTTTCTGAAGGCAGAAGAGCTTTTTAATCGCATTCTTCATGTCCTTGTTTCTCAAACTATAAATAATGGGATTGAAGAATGGAGCAAGTACAGTAAACATTAGTGCAATGGCTGTGTCCAAAACTGGTGGGTAAGTGGTATTGAAACGCAAGTACATGAGAGACACACTGCCAAAGAATATTAGGAAGACAGTAAGATGACCTGCACAGGTAGAAAAAGCCTTTTTCCGACCTTCAGCAGAAGGTATCCTCAGAATCACAGTGAAGATCCTTATATAGGAGAGAGCAATGATTAGGACAGTAATGATGATGGCCACAGCATGAATTACATCCTCAATAAGAATCATGGAGGTGTCTGTACAGGCCAGGCTCAACACTGGGACCAAGTCACAGAAGATCTGATGGATTTGGTTTGCTCCACAAAAGGGCAGTGTGGAAATCATCACAATCTCAGGAAGTAGGATAAGAAATCCAAAAATACAGGAGCCTGCAGAGAGCTGAGCACACAGGTGTGGGGTCATGATCATTTGGTAGCGAAGAGGATTACAGATGGCAACATACCTGTCAATGGCCATGGTAATTAGTAAGATCCCCTCTGAATTTCCAAGAGAATGGAAAAAATACATCTGTAAGAGGCAGCCAGTAATGGAGATAGTCTTCTGTTCACGGATGAGGTTGGAGAGCATATTGGGAATGGTGGCTGTGGTATACCAGATCTCCATAAAGGAAAAGATACTGATAAAATTATACATGGGATTATGGAGACGGCTGTCCACCCTTACAGCAAAGAAGATCAATAGGTTTCCAATGACAATAAAAATATAGATGAAAAGTAAAGGAAAGAAATACAGGAGGCTTCCATCCTGTAGCCGGGGAAACACAGTGAAGATAAATTCAGTTACTAATGATAGATTTCCACTCTCCATATCACCAGCAGAGCTACCTGTGAATGTAAAAGAGGGCACACACCAGCTCATGAGGAAATACAAAAGACAACAAATAAGATATACAGTTTAATAATTCCTGTGGAAAAAGCTTAGAGTCTTTTGTCTGCTTGTTTGTTTTCTATTGTCACATTATTATTGTACATATGACCAATATTCCAGTTTTTCTCATCATTAATTCCTGCAGAGGATAACTACTTAAAATAGTGGTCTTCAGCTGATTTTAATGGTACAAACAAATGATAAATTATTTGAGTTTAGCTGCTAATGAAAGTATTTGTATTTATAATTTATACATATAATTTACACATGAGTCCTGGTGTGGCATGGTGGGTTAATATGCTGGACTGCAAAGTCAGTTTGAACTGCAAATTCAGTGGTTCAAGCTCACCAGACACTCCTTGAAAACCCTATATAGGGTTGGTATGGATCAGAACCAACTTGAGGGCACTTAACAACACAGCAACGACAAGTAAAATATACTACTACCTACTAGCTGATCCAAAGAAACCCTACAAAGGGTCACTGTGAGTTGGAATTGAGTCGATGACACTTAACAACTAACCCATTGACATCATGTTGATTCTGACTCATAGTGACCCTACAGGACATAGGGTCTATAGGGTTTCCAATGCTATAATCTTCACTGAAGCATCTCTCTCCCACAGTGTGGACAGTGGGATTGAATCACCGGTTAAGCACTGGATAGTAGGTGAGTGCTTAACCATTGCCACCAGGGCTCTTTACTATAATAGTTGTTGTTAGGTGCTATTGAGTTGCAACCCCATGCATAAAAGAACAAATCACTACCTTGTCCTCTGCCAGCCTCACAATTGTTATGTTTGAGCTCATTGTTGCAACTACTGTGTCAATCCATCTAATTGGAGGTCTTCCTCTTTTTTGCTGACCCTCTACTTTACAAGCATGATGTTCTTTTCCAGGCATTGGTTCCTCTTGATAATATGCTCAAAGTATGAGAAACAAAGTCTTGCTATACTCACTTCCAAGAAGCAATCTGGTTGCACTTTGTCCAAAACTGTCTAATACAAAATTTATGCATTTCTATAATAAAACCTTTTTAATGTAAGAAACTTAAAAAACACAAACAGAAGTGCTATTTTCCTTTCCTCATCCAGTAGCACCTTCTTGCACATTTCTCTTTGGAGATCTCCCTTCTAGAATGTAGCCTTTGGTCTACAATGGAATCTTGACTAAGCTCATTATTACCTAATTGTTATTGGTCAAATTCTAAATCTATCAAAGCCTCAACTACTCATAAGTAAAATGGTACTAATGGTGGTGGTTGTTTTTGTTAGTTGTTAAGTCAAATTCAACTCATGGTGACCCCGTATGCAGAATAAAACTTTTCCAAAGGGTTTTTAACAGCCATGACCTTGCAGAAGCAAACTGACAGCCCTGCGTTTTAAGTTGCTCATGAAAGTTTCAAAGTGCATAGCTTTGCAAAGTGAAGGCATAGCTGTTTTCCCCACCTAGGAACTCCAGATATTACTGATAATACATATCTAATAGGGATGTTCTGTCAGTTTGTCTAACTGTGGTAGCTTACATGTTGCTGTGAGAAAGAAAGCTATGCCACCATTCTTTCAAATACCAATAGGGTTACATATGGTGGACAGGTTTCAACTGAGCTTCCAGGCTAAGATGAACTAGGAAGGAGGACATGACAAACTACTTTTAAAAATATTGGCCAGTGAAAATTATATGAATGGCAGTGGGACATTGTCTAAAGATGAGCCCTTCAGGTTTCAAAACACTCAAAATACAACTAAGGAGAAGTTACCCCCTGAAAGTAGAGATGCCTTTAACATCTCTTTTAGGACCTTCATTTGCTGATGTGGCATGACTCAAAAGGAGAAAAAACAGCTGCAAATATTCATTAATAATCAGAATGTGGAATATATAAAGTACACATCTAGGAAAATTTGTCACAAGTTAAATGAAATGCCTAAAGATCTATATTATAGACATTAGTGAGAAAAAATGCACTGGTAATTACTTTGTATTGGCAAAACTTATTACCTACTATTCTGAGGATGACAAATTAAAGAGGAATGGTGTCGTATTCAAGGTCAAAAAGGACATTTCAAGATCTATCCTGAAATACAAAATCAATGGAAGCACAATACATCCATATGCCTGAAAAAAAGCTCAGAGTGTGGCGGCTCTGTATGATAAGCACTGGGCTGACAACCAAAAGATCCACAGTTTGAGCCCACCAACTGCTCTGTGAGAGAAAGATGAGACTTTCTGTTCCCTCAAAGATGTAAAGCCTTAAAGCCCCTATACAGGGTCACTATGGGTCAGAATTGACTCAACAGCACATAACAGCAACAACAAGAGAGACCAGTTAATAGCTCTATTATCCACTTTTATTCACCAATCACTAATGTCAAAGACAAAGACCTTGAAGATTTTTACCAACTTCATCAGTCTCAAATTGATTAAACATGTCATCAAAATGCATTGATAATTACTAATCAGTGGAATGACAAAATTAGAAACAGAAAAAGAAGGATTGGTAGCTGAAAAATATGGCTTTCATGATAGAAATAATGTCAAAAATTGCATGATAGTATTTTTCAAGAACAAAGATTTATTCATTGCAAACACCTTTTTTAAGAATGTAAGTGGCAACTATACATGGGTTCCTCACCAGATGAAACACACAGGAATCAAATCAACTACATCTGTGGAAAGAAATAACAGAAAAGTTCAGTATCATCAGTCAGAATAAGGCCAGGACTAACTTCAGAATGGACCATCAATTACTCATAAGCAAATTCAAGTTGAAACTGAAGAAAATTGAAGTTCATGAGACCTAAAGTATGACTTTGAGTATATTCCACCTAAATTTAGAGAACATCTCAAAAACAGATTCAAGATATTGAACATTACTGACTGAAGATCAGATGAGTTGTGGGAAGACATTAAGGGCATCAGACATGAAAAAAGTAAAGGCCATTAAAAAGAAAGGAAAACCAAAAAAGACCAAAATGAATGTGAGAAAAGACTATGGAAATGTAAGAACTGAAAAAGTAAAAAAGCAGAATAGAAGTTCTCAAAGGGCAGCTCAAGAAGACAAAGTAAAGTATTATAAACAAATGTGCAAAGACCTGGTATTAGAAAGCCAAAAGGAAAGAACACCACTGGTATTTTTCAAGATAAAAGAACTGAAGATAAAAATTTAAGCCTCTAGCTTCAACATTGAATAATTCTATGGACAAAATATTAAGTAGTGCAGGAAACCCCAAAAGGTGATGGAAAGAATAACTGTACTAAAAAGAATTGGTTGATGTTCAAATATTTCAGTAGCTGTTTAATAATCAAGAACTAATGTTATAGAAGGAAGAAGTTCAAGCTGCATGGAAGACATTGGCGAAATACAAGACTCCAGGAACTAAAGAATATAAATAGAGATGCTTCAACAAACAGATGCAATACTGGAAGCATTCAACAGTCTGCACCAAGAAATTTGGAAGTCAACTACCTGGTCAACTGTCTGTAGGAGATCCTTATTTGTGCCTATTCCAAAGAAAGGATGAGAGAAGGATGAGATTTTCTGCTCCAAGAAAGATTTGCAAACTCGGAAACTCTATACAGCTATGAGTTGGAACCGACTCAGACTCACAACCTCCAGCAACAACCACCAAAGAAAGGGGTTCCAACAGAATGCACAAATTATTGGTCCTGGTGTGGCACTGTGAATTAATGCACTGGGCTGCAAAGTCAGTTTAAGCCACAAGACTGGCAGTTCAAGCTCACCAGTGGCTCCTCAGAAACCCTATACAGGGTCATTATGGATAGGAACTGACTCAACAACAACAATAACAACTTAATCAATATAAAATACAATTAAAATATTTTTTGACAAAAATGTAAAATCAGTTACAGATAGAGATAGAGAACTGCCAGAATTTTAAACTGGATTCAGAAGAGGATGTGGAATGAAAAATATCATCGCTGATGTCAGATGTATCTTGGCTGAAAGCAGAAACACAAGGGAAATGTTTACCTATGTTTAATTGGCTATGCAAAGCCATTTGACTGTTCAGACTATAACAAAAATGAGAATTTGAGAACATTTAATTGTGTACATGTGGAACTGTACATAGACTAAGAAGCAGTCATTTGAACAATCTAAGGAGATACCATGTTTTGTTTTGTTTTTTTAATTCAGGAAGGGTGTGCATCAGAGTTGCATCCTTTCACCATATTTATCCAATCTGTATGCTTAGCACATCACTCTAGAAGCTGGACTGTATGAAGAAGAGTGCAGTATCAAGACTGGAAGAAGATTTATTAACAATATACAATATGCTGATGATGCAACCTTGCTTGCTGAAAGGAATAGATCTTGAAATACTTATTGATGAGGATCAAAGACTGCAGCCATCAGTATAGATTATTCCTCAAAATAAGAAAACCAGAATCCTCACAACTAGACCAATAAGCAACACCATGATAAAAGGAGAAAAGACTGAAGTTGTCAATAATTTCATTTTACTTGAATCTATAGTCAACACCCATGGAAGCAGCAGTCAAAAAATCAAAAGACGTGTGGGGTCCCCAGCCGGTCTCCTCCCTCCCTGCCTTCTTCAGATGGCAGCTGTTTTTACTAGACATGTGGCCAGAGACAGGATCACGTGGAACCTCGGCAACCTAAGACAGAGCCATTGCCGTGCTGCAATGAGTTTCGATGACAGGTAAGACGGAGGAATTCGCACTGACCGCCTAAGACAGGCAGCATCCCTTAAACAAATAATAAACAAGGGGGAATCTGTTG